CTGAGCTCTGAGCTTCAGAGGGCCCTGCCCTGGCTCTCTCCAACCGCGCCCCTTCCCATGTAGCAGTGGATGTGTCCACCCTGAACTTGGCCCACGCCACTCTGGAATCTCCTGTCTATCAGCCTCATGCCTGGGTTTGTGGCTAGGGATTGTGAGGACTCCTTCTTTACTCCTGTGCCCCTGAGGGTGGACCAAGGAGATGGTGAGTGTGCCTCAAGACTGAGGGGTGGCCAGGGGTGTCTGGAGCAAGACATGTGAGTGGAGTATAAGCAGACGGCTGGAGTGTTCCAGCATAAGTGCCTGATAATGAAGCTTTTTGATCATTAAGGCATCCACTCAAAGACATCCATCTCAAATAACTATATTGCCAGCTGTAAGACACAGCTACTAGGAAAACAATGAGATTAGGAACCAGACCACAACACCTGTGAAGTTTTCTTTCAGAAAGCCCTGGATAACCTAGACAACTGACCAAGCCACCAGTAACCCTGTTTTTTCTTATCTGCACCCTAACCTAATTATCACTCTTTTGCTTTAAATTCACCAATAATGAGTCTATGAAACTCAAGGCACCACGCACTCAATCCAACAAAAGCAGAACCCCAGGTCCAAGCTTGCTAGTTCGTGTTCTCTCTCTCTCTCCTTCTCCCCCCCCCTCCATGACCTTGTGTGACCCTCAGCCATAACCTATACCCTCCAGAACCTGAGAATAATCTTTTTTTTCTTCAAAGCTCCCCGATGGTTGTTGCTGAGGTGAGTCTTACAATCATCATAAGAACCATAAGGTCCAGTCCAGCCACAACACTGCCTCTGGTGGGGAAATGTCTGTGGGGGCTGCCACAAGTAGTGCAGGCCCAGGTGAGGACGCGGGCATTCCAGCCGATAGCATTGTTATCCATAGGCTGAGACCAACCCAACACAGGTGCCCAGTGCATGCCTGAGAGGCACCTCAGTGCAGGAGAAAAATGAAAATGGGGATCCCCGCCACTCACTCCCATGTTGGAGAGAATGCCTCAATAGTTTCAGCATTCTCAATGCCAACCTGGTGTTTTCCATCAACATCATGAACCTGTATTTGTTAACCTAATGCAGTAGTCAGCAAACTCATTAGTCAACAGAGCCAAACATCAACAGCATGATTGAAATTCCTTTAAGAGCCAAATTTTTTACACATAAACTTCTCCTAAGGCCACTTCTTCAAATCAGACTTGCCCAGGCCGTGGTATTTTGTGGAAGAGCCAGACTCAAGGGGCCAAAGAGCCACATGTGGCTCACAAGCTGAAGTTTGCCTACAACTGACCTAATGGATTTCATTTACCAATCTTCTATATTGGTTTATGAGTTTTAAACATGTAGGTAAATGATATGTGGACCTACACTTATATTACTACCGAAGCCCCACAAGTTAGGGATAGTCCTAAGTATTTTTTTTTTAAATAGCAAAGATTAAAAATATCAAAAAAAGGTGGCTCTATAACTCTTTAATATCATCCCTGTTTTTAAGTGGGTTTTATACCAAGCACATACACACATATCTCCAATATGAATTATGAAAATTAATACAAATGTTGTGGCTTCAAAATGGAGTTGGAGCTGCCATCCAAGAGGAACTGGCTTGCAAGTGTTACTCTTCAAATCTTTGGAATGTTAAAAATGGACAAAATAACCTTTTGGGCCTTAAAACAGGACTATATTCCAAATAACTTTGCAAAAATAACAAAGAGCAGATATGAAAATTAAAGACACTTTAGCATCACTATGTTAGTTTATCTTCACCTATAGAAATTCCTTCCTTCTATTCATGTTATTGTTTTCCTTCCCTCCTAAGCAAAAACCAATGTGGATTTCTGCTTGAATAAATGCTTCCCAAATAGCTATTCTTTTAAATCTCAAATAAATGCTTGTTGTTTTTCACCTTGGCCTTTTACTTTTAGGTTAACACATTATATTTATATATATAAAAGGCTAAGCAAACATCCCACTGGCCAGTAGGTATCACACGCACTGACCACAAGGGGGCAGATGCTCAACGCAGGAGCTGCCGAGCTGCAGTGACTTGGCAGTGGTTCTCGGTTCTTGGATAACATAGCCTGGAACCAGAGAGGAGGAAGTCTGATTCTGGGGTGCACCACCTGAGAACTGCCCTCTCGTAATCTGGGATCCTTTAGGGGGTGTCAGAGAGTCAGTTTCAGCCTGATTCCCACAGGCCAGGCCAGGGGACCCCACCTGCCAGAGGGATCCTGCTCACTCTGCAGATGCCTTTTGAGCCATGGCAATACCCCAGCTGCAGCAGACACTCGCATAATCCTCAGTGTAATGCACCTACATCCTCTTCCCTATGCCCTGAACCTAGGATGTGTATTCTCAATGCTGCTGCCCTTCTTTTCAAAACTCTTCACTCAGTTCTCTAGATATTTATCCCACTAATTTTTGAAGTCCCTACATCCTCCACCTTCTCAGAGAATACGCCTTCACCTCCCTGGTCCTAACTAGAATCTGGCTCCATCTACAGGACAACACATGCACTGCAGTCCTTTCAGCCTCTGAAAGTGGGTTTTTCTAAACCCTATTGTTACTTCTAGGATACATCACTTCCACTTGCACATTAGAAACCTTTCCCCCTTGACAAAGATATTCTAAAATCTATAATTTCTACCTTCCTTTCCAGCTGCTCTTCCCTCTCCTTTCTCTCTCTCTACTAACCCATAAGCCCATAAACTAGTGTTATTATTCAAAATGTTGTCAACAGACCACCAATTTTTTAAACTGATTCACAAAGAAATAACTATGGGAACTAAAAGTAAACATTTAGAATTTTACTACAATTTGACATCAATGAACTTCTCTGTAAACTTCTTAGTCTTTTTCTAGCAAAATTGTTGCCCAAACTTTTTTTAAAAAATATTTTTATTGATTTCAAAGAAGAAGGGAGAGGGAGAGAAAGATAGAAACAGCAAGGATGAGAGAGAATCACTGATTGGCTGCCTCCTGCATGCCTCCAACCAGGGATCAAGCCCGCAACCCTGGCCTGTGCTCTTGACCGGAATGAACCCTTCAGTCCATAGTCCCACGTTCTATCCACTGAACCAAACCAACTAGGGCTTACTGCCCAAACTTTAATGTGTATATACACAACTTGGGGAATCTTGTTTAAAAATGTGGGTTTAGTTCATCTGGGTTTGGGCCATTTGATTCTGAATTTCCAAGAAGCTCCAAAGGACAATGATACCACTAGTTTACAAACCCATTCTGAATAGTGACTTCAAACAACTTAATTAGGAGGTTTTCTCCAACCAGCCTTGTTCTTTCATATGCTTGTATTTAGCTATTGTTTCTCAAATTTCACAAACCAAACCCCTGCACTTACCATTGCCTCTGTTTCTCAAATTTCACAAACCAAACTACTGCACTTACCATTGCCTCTTTCCCAAGGTTGCACAGCCTATAAATAGAGTCACTGCTATTTATAATCTGTGCAACCTTGGGAAAGTTAATTAGCCTCACTGTGCTCTAATTTCCTCATCTTTAAATGGAGATTAATAATCCTAAATACCTCATAGGATTGTTGTGAGGCTCAAGTGGGCTAATTAATGTAAACTTAGAATGCTGCTTGGCTAAGTTTACATTAATTAATTTTAATTTTTAAAATTTTTATTTTTGCCTTATTCACTTGGCAAGTTGTTCCTCCTTAAAGTCTTGTTCAGGTATAGCTTCTTTGAAGCTATTTTGACATCTTTCCATGCCAGAAAGGGGGTGCCACTCCCTCTTTTGTGTTCTTACTATACTTTATAATCTAACTCTATCACTGAGCTATTCCTGACTGTATAATTATTTACATGTTTCTCATAACCAATTGTGCACATCTTGAGAGCAAAAATTTCCTTCATCCATTTCTGAATCCTTAAGACATAGCATGTTGATTGCCAAAATTTTAAAAACTGACTGAGCTTTGCCCTGGCTGGTGTTGCTCAGTCCTTAGAGCACTGGCCCACACACTGAAGGGATATGGTTCCATTCCTGGTCAAGGGCAACCTGGGTTGCAGGCTTGATCCCTGGCCTGGATCAGGAGAACATGTGGGAGGCAACCAATCCGTGTTTCTCTCTCTCATCCAGCCTTCCTCCCTATCTTCCACTATCTCTAAAAATCAATGGGAAAAATACCCTCAGGTGAGAATTAACAAAAGAAGAAAAAAAACAACTGAATTTTGATGTGAATTATTATAAATAAACCTTATAAAGCTTTCTAGGTTATTGTAGGAACAGGAGTTATAAAAATATTATCATGAAAACCATGAAATGTCATTATATTTTGTCGGAAAATTTTTCTCATAAAGAATCACTTTAAACCACTTAACTATGTCTTTGGACTTAGATTTCTGTGACAATTACAAATCACTTATTTTTGGTGAGAAAAAGGAGAGGAAAGGAACTGAGAAAGCTATTTTTAACAAGAAGTCTCTGAGGGTGCTAATTTAAATGCATAAATCTTGAAATTAAATTTTGTAGATGTCTTCTCCATTTTATATATTTTATCTTTATATAGTATAAAATTTGACTAAAAATACACTCTAGCATAGATAAAAGGAAACACAATCCAGCAAATAATCCGATGTACTCCTTTCTAAGGTCCTTTATTTTTATTTATTTTTTAACTTTCTTTTTTTCTTTCTTAAGGTCCTTTCTTTTTTAAACAAATGTAGAGAAATACTCATTTTTGAAGGCAATACACCCTGAGTAATACGTAGGAGCAAACATAAAGCACTGTCTCTTTACTCCTCCTTTTGGAAATACACTACAAGCCCTAGAAACTAGTTTTCTAAGAGAAGAGGGGAGAGTTTATGAAATAAAATTCACTGGAGAGAAGCCATGTAAGACTGCTTTCCCAAGAACTGCTTGCACGTGTTTTTGAATGTTTCATTATGGCATCTCGCCTTGTCCTCTGCCCCAGCAGTGGAAAATGGTACAGATAGATTCATTTAGCAAAGAAAGGGTCTTCTTACCTCTGTTTTTCAGTGGAGGCAGTGTGGGGTGTAGATCTTTATTACATTCATTCCGTTCTGTGCAGCATTCAATTGATCTTCTTTGGTGAGGGATGGGAGTGTCCTAAAATTAAACCCGAAAAGCTGTTAGTGGGTGTCCCCTAGATTTCATAGGCACATAACCTCAAACTAAAGACATTAAGACTATTTTGGTGACTTAGTTGAAATTCTTGCACAAGCATGTTGAAAATATTGTTTTCTTTTAGGTCATTTCTTTTAAATTATCATGTATGACCTTACTGCAATGTCCGCATGTCAACAAAATTACTACTACATGTGTTAATACCCGGTGTGCACAGTGTAAGTGAACAAAGAAAGCGAGGCCTGATGCAGTTAGCTAAATTGGAATTTGAGCAAGAAGGTCTAATGGGACACAAAGCCAGAAGTCATCAGCAAAAATCAACATAATATTTCATTTCAAAATGAAGGGAGAATTGGCCCAATGAGAATGCTCAAATTGTTTTCCAAATCACTAAAAATAGGCTAGTGAAAAAAACAAACAAAAACCCCCGACACAATTGCTTTCTCTTACTGAAACGTGGCTGTTTGAAATCTAGCCAAGGAAAGGTCACAAAGGAGAATCAAGTTTCCTCCTTACCCGGCACTGAAAATCTGAACCTTCTAGTCCCAGACACCCCGACGTGATCACTGGCATCCCAGAATCATCTTCTTCTATCATCGTGAAGCAGTATCCATCTGTGCTAAAGGCCAAACAGGCAAAGGCAGCGTGAGTGTCAGTGTGTGTGCGTCTAGGGGAAAAGGAAGATGCTCATCATTTGTTTCATTCAAATCAGAAGTTCAATGATCATTACAAGTTACAGTCTGTGGAGAGAGTCCTGAAACTTCCTTTCATGAAACTCAACTTAATTATCAATAAATGTTTTTGTAAATAGCTCCTCTGTCCAGAAAACTGCGAGAAAGAAGTATCCAGAATTTCCATATCACATATACAATTAATAACCACATATACTGATTACTAAACACTTGCTTTGGTCCTTTGTAGAGAGCTCTCTTTAAAAAAAGAAAAAGAAAAAAATATATATATATTCTTTTATTTCAGAAAGGAATGCAGAGGTAGCGAGAGACAGAAACATCAATGATGAGAGAGAATCACTGATCTCTCTCTCTCTCTCTCTCTCTCTCTCTCTCTCTCTCTCTCTCTCTCTGTCTCAATTGATTTCAGAGAGGGAGATGGAGAGAGAGATAGAAGCATCAATGCTGAGAGAGAATCATTGATTGGCTGCCTCCTGCTCGCCCCCTACTGGGGATCGAGTTCGCAACCTTGGCATGTGCCCTTGACTGGAATGGAACCTGGGACTTTTCAGTCCACAGGCAGACGCTGTATCTACTGGGCCAAACTGGTTAAGCCCAGAACAAAACAACTCTGAGGAAGATGGCACTATTCTTACCTTCTATATGAGGCTCTACTAGGGGTGTCGAACTCAATCAGAGAAGGGGCCAAAATCTAAAGTCCAGCCTAAATCGCGGGCCGAATGGTTTACTGAACAGTCATAAACTGTCATTGTGATGGAAACGCAGCAGAGTGCAGTGATGACAGCGTGGTGCGGGCCACATTGCAAGGCCTGGCGGGACGGATTTGGCCCGCGGGCCTTGTGTTTGACACATGTGCGAGGCTCAGAGAACTTGAGTAATTTCTCCAAGGCCTACAGCTAGTGAGAGTACGCATGGCAGGGCTTTGGACCCATGCAGGTGAACTTCTATGCTGGCTCTCCTTGCACTGAGGCTAGGAAATAAACTTACCTCTTACTAAGACACACAAACTAAACTAAGGAGGGGCAAGAGTTGGGATCAGCACAGCAGAAGTGAGGTGACTAAGATTCTGCCTTTTGGTACTTGTGCTTCTGGGCTGGCCTGAGGGATGAAAACATCAGGCTTTGTTTTCAGCAGTCTGGCCTTAAATTGGAAGTGGGGTAAAAATGGCAGTGGAAAGAAGGGTTTTAACAAGATCACTGTTAAAGCTTTTCCACCTCATGGCACACACGAACTAATTACTAAAATTCTGCGGCCTACCAAAAATGTATTTTTTGCTGACCTGATAACAACAAACTATATTTTTGACTCATTCACACCAGAGAGCTATTGTTGGTTGGCTAATGTCATTTTTAAAAAAAAAAAATTAATAATCTAAGGAAAAAGAGGTCAGGTATCACATGTTTTAAAAATTCCTGAGGCATACCAGTGTGCCTTTTGCAGTATACTGGTTGAAAATCGTGGTGCTAGAAAGTAAAGAAACTATATATATATATAAAGAAACTATATATATATATAATTTTTTTCTGTGAAGGTTTTTAGATTAAAAATAACTTTCATTTATTCAATCAGATTTAGTCCTCTCAACAACACTGAGAAGTGATCATTTCTATTTCACTGACGAGGAAATTAAAGCTATGAGAGTCTAATAAGCAAACAGTTACAGAATCAGCCTTTTCATCAAGAACCTCTTGCTTCTTTCCCACACATTTTTCCACTGTCCCCTCCTGGGATTAAAAATGGAAAACAAGAACTGTTATATATATAGAGAGAAGTATTTATAAACAAACATTTCTTATATTGGGAGTCCACTGGGTGAGGAATGCCAGCAGAATCCCGATGTAAGTCACAGACCCCTACTGCGTGTGCTAGGAAATAAAGGACTGACCTATATCTCCATCTTTTCTTCGTGGTCATGCATGCTCAGTGTCCAAGATAGACGTGACAGCACAGTCCCCCAAGGTCAGGGAGGCAGCTCTGTGCATGCTCTTCACTATGGTTTCTGGGTTGGTCTGTTCTGTGTTGGTGGCAGCAGCATTCTGCTATACCTTAGCCCTTCAGTTATCATCAACACCCTTTGTATTGCTTACTTGGTTTATAAGCCTCAAGTGATCCAAAATTCCTCAGTTTATGAAAACTAGCAGAGCCAAGTTCAAACATACTAATAAGTGGCTGGGAAGGGCCAGTGATAAATCTCCCTTGTGTAGACCAAGGTCAAATGAATGAATATTGTTGTGCAAGAAATACTGCCTCTGAACAGCCCATGCTTAACTTATTTGGGGCATTTTAGCTCATATGTTGACACTGCTATGACAATCTAACACATGTAAATACTGAAGGCGATAAATACAAGAGCTGTCCCTTAGAAATTTACTGTAAACACGTAATAAAACAATACGTGTGTGTGTGTGTGTGTTGTTGTTGTTGTTTTGTTCCTTTCCTACACATTTAGATTATGTGTGTAATTTCCATTTCTTGTCAGAAGTAAAATTCAGGAATTATCAGAAATAAAGCCATCTTAATTTTCTGACATTAGGATTTCATAGAGACTAGAAAAGCTTGATTCAGTATGTTAAATCCAAAAAGACTAACTTCTCCTTAATCATGAGTTCCCCTTGCTCAAAATCTGAATACATGGAAATGCACTTTTAAGCAACTTACAAGAATCAAGAATGAGAATAGGAAAAGCTGGTAAATCTGTTGGTAAGTTACTGTTACAGTGTCCTAAGAAATGGAAAGGGACACCAGCAAGGGTAATTTTAAGCTTTAACCACGCGCTCCCGTCCAGCCAGTGTTGCTCCATGGTTAAGCATCAAACCCATGTACAGGGAGGTCACCAGTTCAATTCCCAGTGAGGGCACACGTTTGGGTTTCAGGCTTGATCCCCAGCAAGGGGCATGCAGGAGGCAGCAACTGATGATGTTTCTCTCTCTTTTTTCTTCTCCCTCTAAAATCAATAAAATATATATTAAAGATACATACCCTTGTCTTCAAAAAAGGGTGAAAATAAAAGTATAAAGAGGGGATGGAGAGGGAGCAAGAGAGAGACCCTGGAGAAAAGAGTCAGTGTCTCACAGGCATCAGTAAGGTAGGAATCAAATTTGCCCCTGGAGTAAGAGCAAGAGGGTGAGAGAATATCAAGTGTATATTATCTGCAACAAAGCCAAAATAATTTATAAGCTTCTCCTTGAAATAGCTAGCTAGTAAGGAAACTTAAAGGTGCTCTATGTATTATTTCATTTTACTGAGTACAGTGTTTACAAGGTTTAAAGCCTTGATCCTTTTAACTCTATTCTTATAGAAGCTTACTTTCAACTCTTCCAGCAAGCACTAATGTAAACAAAGCTATGCTCCAGTCAGAGCCCAACAATTCCACCCATCGCTAAGGGGTGGCTGCTGAACGGCATGAAAGGCGACTAGCTCCCACCATGGCCTGTCGGGACATCCTGCTGCTGTCTGCCACATTAAGCTGAGTTGTGATATGTGTTCAATTATTGCCACATCACTCCCAGAGTGTTGAAAGTGATCACAGGAGATGAAGATCATGAAGAAAAACAAAAGGAGAAATCATTTTAGACAAAATTAAAAGTGGTGATATGTATACAGGAATGTAGGATCAATCATTTGATTCCAGTAAGGATTATAAATGAAAAAAAGCTGCCCCTGCCCAGCAGTGTTGCTCAGTGGTTGAGAGTCTATGAACCTATGAACCAGGAGGTCACAGTTTGATTCCCTGTGCAGCCGGGTTGCAGGTTCGTCCCCAGTAGGGGGTGTGCAGGAGGCAGCCAATCAGTGATTTTCTCATATCAGTGATGTTTCTTTCTCTCTCCCTCTCCCTTCCTTTCTAAAATAAATAAAAATATATTTTTAAAAAATGCTGCCCCTGAGTTATAGGCAAAGAAAAGTAATTGATAAAATAGAACAAGAGTTGAATCCCAAAATGATCAATACTGAAATGCCTCTCCACATGTTAACTAATGAAAAAGCAAAGAATTTGAGAATTTAAAAGTCACATGAGGTCAAAGCAGCGTTAATAAAATTTTTGCTACAGCCCTTGGATGGCACTACAGATTCAAACTCCTTGCATCTGCCCAATATTCCAAAGGTAAGTAAGTGTCTGTACCATCTAGAAAGATCATCAGGGAAGAACTTCCACAAGAGAAGCTGGGCATGACCAAGTAAACACTGACTATCAATGAAGAAAGGGGCATACCTGGCTTCACCTTTTGAGGGAACAAATATTACTCCTTTTTTTGGTGAGTGAACGCCCAGAACCTGCAAGGTTTGGCTCTCCTCATATATGGCCAAATGCATCATAAACAGCCTTTGGGGCCCCGATTTCTCATTAGTGCTTACTGGACAGTTGGAAATACATATGACTACTACTGTCCCCCTTTCTCTGGCTTTTCCTCTGAGGCATCAATACAGGAAATGCCTTTTTGTTACTTTATCATCTAGGACGTGTAACTATCGTACATCCTTCTGTCTTTCTCTGGCAGCCAAACAAGTGACTTAGCATTCTAGTCTGTTTTTGATTTTTATTTTCTTAGTGAAGTATCAGATACTGTGAACCAGTCTCAGTGTTCATATTAATAGAGCGTCTGTGTATTCTCACCCCCACCACCTGTGCAGGTGTCCTTACTCCCCCCACCTGACTGCTCTGAGAGCCTTCCAATGGACTCCCCACCTCTGGATTCTGCCTGATAAACCTTACATTTTCCTTCTCTGCTCAATAATCTCCAATGGTTCACTATCTATGATTTTAAAGAACCCCACGCTGTTCACTTTCTACTAAGTCCAACAATAAATGGGCCACGTAACATGCTCATCTGTGACTAATCAGAGGCACAAAAACTGAGTTATTCCTTGTAAAAGAAAACACTTCATAAGCAAACTTGAAATCATAGCCTCTTCCTACTAAATTACGAGTCCTGATGCAGGACCCACCATCCTCATTATTGCATTGGTTTGAACTCAACATCCACTAAAAATAAATAAAGACCTTAAAGCTAAATGTTCATATGGCCTGGGCAACAGTGGGATTAACTGGATGCAATGTAAGCTATACAAACAAAGGAGAACAATATGCACTTTAAACACTCAGCGACCATGGGTCAGGAGCACCTGTCTAAAAACTCACACCACCACATTCAGCAGGAGGTCTAAAAGCCCTGGGTTAATACAAACTTTGTCAAAAGGCTCAAGGTCCCTAAGCTTTTCCTTCTCCCCTTTGTGACTCTTCAAAGCCCAGCTGGAGACTCTTCTAATTCTTCATGTAGGCAGAGTGGTGTCATTTACACATCCTTTGTGCAAACATCTGATGCGATTGATTACACCAGGAACCCAAAAAAACCACCCAGGCAGGAGAATTTTTAGTCTGAATTTAATAAGATAAAGGAGAAAGTATTTAAAATTGTCTCTGAATAAAAGAGTAAAAAAATAAATAAATTTTAGAAATGAATAAACTTGTGTGAGGGAGTGGAGGAACCTGAGAGAGGTGATGATTCAGGGACAAAAATTACTATTAACTACCAAATCAAGTAAAACAAAGAAAAATACATGAAGTGGGACCAGATTTATATATATATGACAACAACAAAAACAGGCTGAGATTATACTTGGTCGGACAGGAAAATAAGACAGATATTGGCATGGTAAAAGCCATCTACAAAGAGTGATTGAAGGAGACTTTGCAGCTTCCCGTGATACGCAGTGAGAGCCTGTGGTTCCAGGAGTGGCATCTGGAAGTGGAATGGGAAAGATTAACAGTGCGAAATAACACCTATTTGGAAGACAGATATTATCTTGAGGGAGCCATGACAACAGCTTCATTTCTTACTCTGAATTATGAATATTAAAAAGGCTCAGTGCAGGACATATTTATACCACATCCTTCAACGTGCATGCCATTAGGCTGTAGAAATGGCATAGATTTTGGAAACAGATACATCTGCACCTGATAGGAAACAAGGCCAAGAATGACTGTGGCCTTGGTGTTGGCTAGTAAATCATTGATGGAACTCAGGAAGAATTAAAAAAAAACAACCCTCTAAACTTTGCGCAGGTTCTCTGAATTACTATGTGGGATTTCAGAATCTCATAACTATGATGCACTCTTAATTTGGGCCACTTTTTGGATTATTCTCTCTAGGAAAGTGGAAGTGGTAATGAGTGTAAGATCTACTTCGACACACAGCTTGGCTAAGATCTGCCTCATAGCCAACCAGACAGCTTAGACCAGCCCTTATCTAAGCTTCAAGCAAGGACAGCCTTGTGTTTAGAAATTCTGTACCTAGGAATGCAAGATTTAGTGTAGTATTACTCAAAGGATGCTCCCTTTCAAGTCAGAAAACAGCTTATTATTGGTCTGTGAGATTAGAAGTTGAAATGTGTACTGTATAGCAATACGTTTAGCTGTTGAATCTAATGGAAAATAGAATAAAAGGAGCACATACTAATAATGTGTAAGTATTTTAAATTTATTTTTCAAATTAATCTATAATTTGTTTTATTGTATTTAGAAAAGTACCAGTGTACAAGCTATTGGGTGGGGGGCACTGTCTTTCAACAGCGATAGTTTGAGAAGTACTGATTTGATGGTCAATGAGTAGAACCTGGGCTCCCATTGCTACTTGCACATTAAGTATTTCTAAACTTCAGTTATCAAGATCAACAAACGTGATTGCTGCACTTCAATTCTTATCCTATTTGACTTCTAACAGCATCCTCCCTCTGTAAACTTGGCTTCAATGACACCAGCCTTACTGCTTCACTGCTAATCCTCAGTCTCCTGGGAAAGCCTCCTTTATCCAAGCATTGCATGCCTCAAGGCTGTCTTCTTTCGGTAGAAGTACAGCTACACTGACCAGTAACATGGGTGTTCTCAATTCTTCACTCCCCACCCTAGGCACAGTCTCCTTGACTTTGAGCATAACTATGACATCTGATTTGTAAATGGAATGTTAGAGGACATGACATAAACAGAAGCTTTAAAAGTTTGCTCCCCGACACTCACGTGAGAAAGAATATGCCCTGAGTAGCTGCTGGTACAAAAAGAATGAAGAAACGTGCAGTAGGCCTGAGCTCAGGTAGCAAACTGAAGCCAAGCACACCCAATCCAGCAGAGCTCAACACAGCGGCAGCCCACTTGTAGAACCAGGAATTATAAAATATATTAAAAAAATTGCCCTAGCAAGTTTGGCTCGATGGATAGAGTGCCATGGTCTGTTGATGGAAGGGTCCCAGGTTCAATTCCGGTCAAGGGCACATACCTCGGTTGCAGGCTCAAGGCTTGACCCTGGTCAGGTTGTGTGTGGGAGGCAACCAACTGATGTCTCTCTCTCACTCCATGTTTTTCTCTCTTTGTCTCTCTCCCTCCCATCCACTCTCTCTCTAAAAATCAATGGAAAAGTACCTCAGGTAAGGATTAAAATAAATAGACAAATAAATAGTCATTACTAATAGTTGTAAGCCACTATGATTTCGAGCTTGTTCCATAGCAAAAACGGACTCATGTTTTATTCCACATTCCCTCCCCAATCGTGTATCTGAGTTCCAAATCCACACCCAATGCCTACCCTTTGATAGGTTCACTTGGATGTGTTAGAAAACTTAAACTCAACATATCTATATTGGAACCCAACTCTTTTCCTTCGTCCTTCTTCATTGAAAGGCTATCCTAAGCATCTAAATGTACATCCAGACACTTGTGAAGCCCCTCCCATATATAATTCACCGGCACAAAACTTTCCTTCTAAACAGTTCTCCAGCACACCCACCTCTCCTGTACTAGCACCTCCCTTGTACAAAAAATTCATTTTTTGTTTCCCTCTAATACATCCAAAACTCGGAAGAAAAGAAAAATTTTCAAAAAAGCTAATTGTCACTGTTTCTCCTGCTTAGACATTAGCTTCCAAGGCTTCCTATGTTTTCAGGAATAAGACCAACATCCGGGACACAGCCCACCTGGCCACTGGCAACCTTTCCCTAGTCTCCAGGTTCAACTCCTGCCGTGTCTTCTCCTGCCTGTGCTCTCAGAAAACCACGCTTCCCCTTCCCACCACAGAGAAAACTGCATTGTGGTTCACCCAGCAGCCCATTCCTTATTTGGGTCCATCTCCTTCCTGAGGCAGACGATGCTTCTCTGACATTGAACTGCTGGGACCTACGCTTGTGTGGCAGCATGGGCCCTCTCTCCCTGGACCACCCTGCCCATTGGTCTGTGCCTCTTCACCCCCTGCTGTCCTCACCCAGGAGAGCAAGTGCAGCTACACGGACCAGCAACATGGATGTGGCTGCATGAAGATATGTATGGAAGAAGGAGGCAAGGCCTCAAGCTTCAAAGGTTAGAATATATTTATACAAACAGAATTATCTGCTAAGGAGCTTACTCTCTAATACTTTGACAATGTTTTCCCATCACCTGGTAGACTCTCCTAAGCCCTGTCACCATACTGCTTCCCAGAGTCCGTTTCTGAATAGATCCTGGCAGCTTAGGTGTTCTTTCCAAAACACGAGCACCAACAGCATGACAAATGGTAACAACAAAACAACACACACACACACACACACACACAAAAATACAATAACACATATTTGATACTCCCTGCTGTTGAAATAATTTGGGGGATCAGGTCTTTTCAAAGAAAATAATTACATTTTGCTCCGTGACATGGAGCCTGAGACCTGTGCTCTATGTTTATTTCATGTGCATGTGTGATGTTTGCAGGAAGGAGAATCTCAGTGCAGCATTTTAGGAAAAATGCAACCCATAGTTTCGCTCCATACAGGCACAACTAACTCTGAGAGTCAGCGGGTTTGTGTGCTGTTCCCTAAAACGTGCTCTTGGAACCTGCATGCAGTACTTTAGTGGGGACTTTCTGTTTACATGCGGTTTGAATGATGTGTATGACCAACCTGCAGATATTGTTGACTGAGTCTTCCGGACAATGGTGGTGGCATTTACAACGCAAGATCTTTGGACGAACAGTGGGGGCTGTACTGTCACCATCCTCTTTCTTGGTGCCCACATTTAGTTTTCCTGAACTTCGCAAAAGCATGTTATCAAGGAAGTCTGCTGAAAAGAAGAAAGGGTAAGCATTTAAGTTTATGGGACAGCCACGCCAAAGTCTTTCATTAACGAATAATGTGACATCAAACAAAATATTGAATTTTCATGACATTTAAAGATTCAAACAAAGGACAGGTATTTTTATGTTTTTTATATTAAAAGTTATACTCTATCAATAAGAGATTATATAGTTAAAGGTAACATACACTGAGTGGCCAAATTATTATGATCTCTGAACGCATAATAACCTGGCCACTCAGTGTGTATCCTATATAATAAAAGGCTAATATGCAAGTTATCCCCTCAACCAGGAGTTTGACCAGCAGGCAGGCTGGTCAACTGACCATGTCCCCTCCCTGTGGCCAGGCTGGCTGAACCCCACCCATGCACAAATTCATGCACCAGGTCTCTAATACACACACACACACACACACACACACACGCACGCACTGAGTGGCCAGATTATTTATGGGTTCAGAGATCATGATAATCTGGCCACTCAATGTATATAACTGTCTCATATAGAATGTGGAAATTCTCATAACACTTTCATTAAATTACTATATTGTATTTGAGCGCAAGGAGCTCAATGAGACACCATTATATAGATTAGTTTTATCTGTATGGTAATACTATGGGTATATATTATCATTCCCATATTCTGATGAGAAAATTAAGACTAAAAGTTAAAGTGATTTTCACACAACTAATAAATCACAAAGCCAGCATTTAAACCTAGATTATTTGCCTCTAAACTCTCTTTCCAGCAGTCTATTTACTTAGGAGTCTCTGTGTTTTAGGTATAATATGTATTTTTTAAACAAGTTATTTGAAATATTTAACCTGAAAAACTGGGTAGGACAATGAAAACTTAGTTATCATTAAGATACATTTCAAAAGACACATCTTCCCTATCAGATTTTTATGCAAAAGTTACTCATGCAAATGCTACTCATATTAGTATCAATGAATCTATATCTCTGATGGAAGACACTCTAGTTGACATGATCTATCCAGGCAGATTTTCTGGGGTCAAAATTAGGCTTTGCGATTTATCAGTTAGTTGACCTTGGACAACTTTATAAATAATGTCATTGTGTCTCATTCCCTTACCTTTAAGGCTAAGATAGTTATAAGCACCTATCTCATGTCAAGAGTTTAGAATATGCATGCTACATAGTAATACTTAATAAATGTTAGTTGTTATTATTATTAAAATAATATTTTTTTCATATTTTAAGTAGTGAGACAATGTTTCATTATGTAACATAGTTTTCATGTTTTTCTTCTTCACTTCTAATGTTTCTGGAAGGTCATTATGTCTGAGAAGGGTGCATGCTTTAATTGATACTATGTATCTAGACATCGGGGTTAAAGCTCTCACCAGCAATATCACTGCACAAATTGTCACCCTGAGCAATGCTTGATTTCAAATCTCTCTCAACACATCCAGCTGGCCTATGATTAAGTCAAATGTTAACAAAAATATTATCTAAGAGATTGTAAAGGTTAAAAAAATAAAATTCTCGGCCTAAGTGCAATATACAAAATAGGTGTACAGTGTGCAGGTGTTATTTTTAAAAACTGCAAATAGATGCCTCCAGCCATTGGTATAGTGGAGAATGAGAAATTTAGAAAAAGATCTATGGTGATTCTCCCTGGTTTTCTGTATATTAGGCTAATTAATTGAATTCTGGTTCTTAATACTACATACTCCTGACGTTATAGCCTGAATTGTCTCAAAGTAATACAAAGTGATGCAAATGAGATATTTTCCATCTATACCAGACCCCGTGTCTTCAAAGTTATAAATAAAATAATAAAATTTTGTTTATTGTGAATATGTCTACTTAACATATATAATGGGTACCTATCCTGTTCCAGGCATAGCCTGTAAGTAGAATAAACTAAACATACACAGAATTAACCGTTTGGTGAGAAAAGTTATTCAGTGAAATGTTTACATAGGATGGTCTACATTAGAAAGGGAATAATATCCTTGTACTATTGGAAATAAGATGTGATTTGTAAGAAACATTTTAAAGGAGTGACAATTTTTTCACATTTAACATTTATTTAAATTAAAGAATAATATAAGATACAGCTATGAGAAAATTCTTTGCAATATTGCTTAAAAAAACCTATGTTTAAAACAATAGGAGATAAGTTATATCTCTAAAATTAGAGTTGTATGTAACAATTAAAATGTTGCTATAGAAGTACATTTATTGACAAAGAATACTAAAATATAATTTTTGTTGAAAAGGGAAAATTTACAAGGTCTTGTCCTTTTGAACAAAAATTTTGTTTTTATAACAACAAGGGGGCTAAAGAGAAGATACTAGCAATAAAAACCTAGAAAGCAGAAACTGATTTTTTAATCCTCACCCAAGAACACGTTTATTGATTTGAGAGAGAGAGAGAGAGAGAGAGAGAGAGAGAGAGAGAGAGAGAGAGAGAGAAAGAAACATCGACTGGTTGCCTCCATAAGTGTCCCAACTAGATCGAACCTGCAATGTAGGTATGTGCCCTGAAGGGGAATTGAACCCACAAGCTTTTGATATACAGGATGATGCTCCAACCAACTGAACCACTGAACCAGGGCCAGAAATTAATCTAACAAAGCCCAAAATGCTGATCTTCTAAGACAAAGGTGGAGAGAGGCCAAGAGTCAAAATAATTTTACCATTTGACCCCCAAAGGCTCCAGACTGGTACCAGAAATTAGTTTCATAAGTGACAGAGAAGGGAATATCGAAAGCAGGAGGAAGCTTAAATCTGTTTTAGAAGTCCTTGGAACGTTAGCTATTCCGTCACAGTCCTTAGACTAAGAGGCTAGCAACCTTCCTTCCCCACCCCTGCAGAAGACTGGACAGGTGCACCTGATATACACATCACAGAGATGCCAAGGAACCATCAGCAAAATGAAAAAGGAGCCCACTTTGTGGGGAATGTATTTGTCAGTCATCTGATACACGGTTAATTTCCAAAATATAAAAAGAACTCATACAACTTGACAAAAGGAAGTCAAACAATTCAATAAAAAACGGGCAAAGGACCTCAATAGACACTTCTCCAAACAGGACATACAGATGGCCAAAAGATGCATAAAAAAGAAATCTCAAAGTCACTAATCAGCAGAGAGATGCAAATTAAAATAATAATGAGCTATCAAACACATCATATCAGCCAGAATGGCTACCTCAACAAATCAACAAATGACAAGGATATGGAGAAAAGGGAACCCTAGCACAATGCTGGTGGGAATGCAATGTATAGAATTTCCTCAAAAAATAAAAATGGAACTGCCATTTGATCCAGTGACCCCACTTCTAGGAATCTATTCTAAGAATCTTGAAACATCAACCAGAAAGAATATATGCACCCCTATGTGCATAGCAGCGCTGTTTACAATAGCTGATATCTGGAAACAGTCCAAGTGCCTATCAGTAGATGAATGGATAAAAAAGCTGTGATATCCCTAGCAGGTTTGACTTAGTGGATAGAGCATTGGCCTGCATACTCAAGAGTCCCAGATTTGATTCTGGTCCAGGGCATGCACCTTGGTTGCTAGCACATCCCCAGCAGGGGGTGTGCAGGAGGCAGCTGAATGATGTTTCCCCCTCATCATGTTTATAATTCTCTGTCCCTCTCCCTTCCTCTCTGTAAAAAAATCAATAAAATATAATTTTTTAAAGCTGTGGTACATTTACATAATGGAATACAATGCAGCTGAAAAAATGGAGTATCTCTTGCTCTTGAGACAGCATGGAGGGACCTAGAAAGTATTATACTAAGCGAAACAAGCCAGTCAGAGAAAGACAAGTATCATGGGATCTCACTGATATGTGGAATCCAATGAACAAAGTAAACTGATGAATAAAATAAATCCAGAGACACAGAAGCATGGAAAAGATGGTGGAATCTCAGAGGGAAAGGGGAGGTTTGGGAGGAAGAGGTTAATCAAAGAACTTAAATGCATATATGCATAATCTATGGACACAGACAATAGTGTGATGAAAGGGAGTGCAGGGTGGAAGGGGTCAATGAGGGGAAAAAGGGGACATCCATAATACTTTCAACGAGAAAGATACATTTTTAGAAAAGACAAAATACATCAGCTAATGCATGAAAAAAGGCAATTAGAAGCTTGACAAAGAACAGTCATTTTATAAAGATATGAATTCGGTCTAATAGTGATGCTGAAGAGCTAGAAAGAAAGACAAAGATGTATTTATGGTAATGGTGACATCCAGATGAAGACTAGAGTAGCATTAAGGAAGACATATCCCAAATACCAAACGTCTGATTATCAAAATGTATTTTTCAAATTTTATTGTATTTTTAGTGTCTTTCCATTTGAAACACAACAAAGGCAGACTTTAATAATAATAGATAATTGATTTAGTCAGCTCTCTAAGGTAATATAAGATCTTTATTAATTCTCATGCTATTTAATTTTGTGTTAAATGTTATAGAAAAGAAGCTAATCATTTAAAACAATTGGAAGATGACTAACCATTAAAGAAACATGAAGTATAATTTAGTATATTTTATTTTCTAAATTAGTAAGTTAAATCATTAAAAGATTTTTCCAACAAGGAAGCTAAACAATGAATTGTTTCTATTTAATTAAAATGAACAGAATCTCAACAAAATTGATTCTTTCTTTCCAATAGCACTCTGGGCAATTATGGCTTTTTAAATATTTAATAATAGAACTATAAATAAAGCTGATAGGAAAACATAATGGAAAAAGACCAAGAAAAATCAGACTTTGTAGAAATTTCTAAGGAATCAATCCTATACTGAATAAGTCACTCTTTAGGAGCTCATCACATATTTCAGCTTCCTTCTCTCTCCTTCCCTCACTCCTCTCTTTTTCTGACCAATCTTGAGTCCAATAGTGTGAATCCAGACACTTCAGATGCATCCTGTCTAGATTAGCTGGTACATTATAACCCAGGGAGTTAACTAGCCAAATTGTTAAGATTATACAAAGTAGGG